CCGGCGTCCGGCCCCGCGCCGCGCTACGCGGGGAGGCGCCGCATTGTTTCCTCGGAGGAGGCGGAGGAGCCGCTGCTGGGGCGGCCCTGGAGCGGCCGCCGCGCTTCCTCGGCGCGCCGGCGCCACCTCGTGGCTGCGGCCCGGAAGCGCGCCCTCCGGGCCGGGTGTCGGGTGGGGGGAGGCGGGGGGGTCCCTGCGCCTCCCCCCACCAGCTGTGCCACCTCCCCGGCCCGGCCTTCGGGAGCATCCCGCGAGCCACCAGCCCCAATTCGGCTCCTGCGGAGCACAGAAAAGGTCGGCGCTGGGAGAAGACCCCGTCCCCCCCCCCCTCCCCACTTCCTCCGGCGCCTGGGCCCTTCCTCGCGTCGCCGCCCCTGCCCCTATGTCCCCCGGTGGCCTTCTGTCCTGGCCCCTTCACACCACCTCTGATGTCGCTTTGCAGCCCTCACCCATCCTCTGGCCCTCTCTGGTCAGAAACTGCAGCGGCTCCCCTTTGCTTACTGAGCTAAGTTCAAACTCCGCCTCTCGCGCTTCGGCTCATCCACTGAGCCCAGAAGCCAGGGCGCGGTGTTGACCTGGGCTCTTGTCTCAGACGCTCCGTTAACAAGTGCCCGACGCCGGCAGATCAGGGACACTTCAGAGCCTCGGCTTCTCCACTATGAAATGAGAGTGACCTGAGGTTGGCCAAGGCGCTTTCCTACTCGATAAAGCATTTACGTGCCCTCGACCCCGTCCCCCTCCACTTCTCCACTTTGGAGATGTGTTTGCCACTACAGGCGTGGGTCAGCAGCTTCTACCGGCCCAGGAGGCCGGTGCAGCGACACGAGAGCCAGGCCCGCAAGGGACAAAGCACTCAGGCAGAAACAGCACTTGCCAGACCAGACCTTGACCCAGCACAGACAAGGAAGCACCTGCCAGGAGGAGCCCAAGGCCTCGGGCCACGTTAGAAGGATCTGGATGACCCTGAATCTTTCCATCCCTGGCCGTGATTCTGCAGCCTGGTTTAGAAGAGGAGAAAAACCTTTATTCTCACGCACCCGGCCTCGGTCCCCTCCAACTGGGGCCCCATCCCCTTTGCCAGCGCACCTCCCGGCCGCGCTTCTGAGCCATTTCTCACCAGCAGTGACTCATGCTCCTGCTTCTCCTGCTCCTTCTTCATCAAAATTCACCTGCCCCATGTTCCATTATCTCATCGCCTTGCTCTCTGCTAATGTGAAAGCCAATGATGAATTGATGTTGGCGGATTAATGTGTGACTTCAGCTAGGTAACAAATTTGCATTGAACAAGGACATGCTGACCGTGCCTCCCTGCAGGGGAGCGACGGGGGGGGGGGGGGGGCCGCGGAACTTGGGCATCGTGGCAGGCTGGCCCAAGAGCGATCTGAAGGCACGGGTCGCTGCCAGGCCCACACCTGCCACACACCCAGGCACGAATTTAACCCCTGGATGGCAAGGTGAGAGCCATATCCACGCTCAGTAATGAAGGGGCCCTTCCAACTGTGTGCCTCTCATGTAAGTTTGGGGGTCGCGCTTTTGGCACTTCAGGCCGAAGGGGAGGAGGGCACAGCCATGTCTGGTTTGGCTCACAAGGTAGGAGAGGGTCTTCCCCACCGGCTCCGGGCCTTGCCCTCGCGCATGTGGCCTTTGAGACGGGCAGGGGAGAGTGCTCGCTGCCGTCTGACAGCGTGCTGTGGCCAAGCAGGGAGGCGGGGGGCAGTCAAAGATACTCTCTGAGCCCCACCACCCGGCCGCCTCCTTTCAGACTGTCCCCCTTCTGCCAGCCTCTTGCCTACAGCACAGACCCGTGTGAAAGGTCCTGCTTGCTGCCTCTTGTAGACTTTAGGAGGAAGTTTGCGGATTCCCGGTCATGCAACCTCAGATATACCCTCTTCATGCCTCAGTTTCCTCAGCTGTCAATCAGGCTCTTTTTTTTTTGAGAGAGAGAGAGAGAGAGCACAAGTGGGGAAAGGGCAGAGAGAGAGGGGGACAGAGGCTCTGAAGCGGGCTCTGCATGGATAGCAGAAAGCCCAACGTGGGGCTCAAACCCTAATGTGAGATCATGACCTGAGCCGAAGGCAGGCGCTTCACCAACTGAGCCACCCAGGCGTCCCTCAGTCGGGCTCTTTAGGGGGACCTGAGAAGTCACCCCTGGATGCCTGTAAACGGCCCACTGCCTGGCGCCCATGAGCCCTCACAGCCTAGCGGTTGTGATTTTCCTCGTTACTGCCTACCTGGGGTGGGTGCTGTCGGGGCCCCCACCCTATTCCCCGGGCACCCCCCTCTAGAGGCCGAAAGGCAGGTTCCTGACAATACACGCGGCTTTATTTCTGCTCGAACCTACGAGACCAACACAGAAACGCCAGCGAATCGATGCCCCGAAGCAGCCCTCGAGCAATGGACCGATACCCATTTCCCTCTCCCTCGGGCGGGAATGCTCCCAGAGCTCCCCAGGGAAACTGAGCCCCCCCGCTGCCCACAGCCGTGGCCGGCTCTGTAGCACACCCCATACCGGCCTCCTTCCCTTCCTGGCTTCACCCCCTACTCTTCCGTCCATGTCCTTGGGGTCACTTCCGAAATACACTCCTGGCACCTGCGTCCTGGTCCGAGGATTTACTTCCGGGGAACCCGAGCCAAGATCCTGCCCTACGGGCCAGTGGTTCTCAGCCCTGACTCAGCAGAATCACCTGCAGAACGTAATGAAACAGAAACTCCCGGCCGCGGTTCGGTACCGCAGACGGGGGGCCTGGGCACCTTCCGGTTTGTTTGTTTTTTTTTAATACTTTAGGTTATGTTAACGTAACTGGCGGGGGGGGGGGGGGCGGCGGGGGGGAGAACCATGGCCTTCGGAGAAGGAAGCAGAGTCTCCCCGAGCAAGCTAGAAGAGATTAGGGGAGCGGGAATTGGGGCACATTTGCTGGTGGGGGGTGGGGGTGGCACATCCAAGGACTGACACAGCAGGTCATACCAGATTCTAAAGGCGTCCCCCTTTCCGATCTTTTTCTCTCCCGAGGCTACAAACAGAACCACGAGCTGGCCCGACACGGGTGTCAGCGTGCAGGCTCTGAATACGGCACTTCCTGGCTCTACCCTCCGCTGCCCTCCACGCGGGCCTGCGGCCTGGCCGGAGGGTCAGAAGCCCAGGGCATCCGGAGGCCCTGGCCAGGCTGGAGGGCCTCTGTCTGAAAAAGGGGGGGGGGGGCAGCAGGGCAGGGAAGAACTCTGGGGAAGGGATTTGGGGGAAGCGGGTGATGCACCTGCACGCAGGGGTGCGTGCTCAAAGTACTGAGGGGGTGGGACTCTAGTAGTCTCCAGGGTTCCTATGACAAACTACCCCAGATGAGGGGCTTAAAACATGAGCAAGTGATTCTCTCACTGTTCTGGAGGCCACAAGTTCTAAATCAAGGTTTGGCAGAGTCGGTTCCTCCTAGAGGCCCTGAGTGGGGACCTGGCCCATGGTGTCCGGTGGGGACCAGCGACCCTTGGCTGGCAGCTGTGTTACCCAATCTCTCCCCCATCGTCACATGGCCTTCCCCGTGTGTGTCCCTCTGTGTCCTCTCCTCTTCTTATAAGGACACTAGTCATTGGATTAGGGCCCCCCCCCACCACAGTATGAGCTCATCCTAACGAATTACATCTACACAGATCCTATTTCCAAACAAGATTGTGTTCTGAGGTTCCAGGCGGACATGAATGGGGGGGGGGGCACATCTGTTCAACCTACTATGGGGACCTAGTGGGAAGGGGCCGGAGGGGTCCTTGCCCAGGACCCGAGGTCCCCCCGGGGGACAGGCACCGTTGCCTTGTGTGAATAGGAACCCGGTCATTTCAAGAGTCAGAAATCTAGACTTCCAAAGAGCAGTCGCATAATTGTAAAACGTGAACTCAGTATTTTTAGAACATTATGTGAGACCAATAAAATCCACCGGAGGCCTGCCATCCAGGTCCCCTGGGGTGTCAGCAGAGGGCAAAGCCCACCAGCCCTGCCCGCCTGGCGAGCCCCACTTCTCCGGGGCCTGCCCCCACCGCAAACACCCCCGGAGGAAGGTCAGCGCTTCTACGCGCACTCAGGGGTTCCCCGAAGTTCCCCTGCCCCCTCGCTGCTCCCCCCCCCCCCCCCCCCCCCCCACGCAGCCTCGTGGGCGTATGGGAGCCTCGACTGCCGCCCCCACCTGTTCAAGGCTTCAAGGTTGCTTCTGGAGCTCACAGACAGGCCCGGGTGGAAAGAGGAAGAAAAAAAACAAACAGTTCACGGGGTTTGAAATCCTCATTTAACGTGCTCCGACTACAGCAGCAGACGGCACATTAAGAAGCAATAGGCCATTGTCCTTTGCCGGAGTGCGGAGCATTAAT